TATCTAGTGATGGACAAAGTACAGAACTCTTGTACTAGAGTGAAAATAGAGATATACTTTGTAAAATATTGCTGAAGTAAAAGCAGAGGTCCTCTGTTTATATTTCACCTTTTTAAATAAACGTTTAATATTCAAACCACCTAATATGATGTTGGTCCTCCAAAACAGCTCCTATTCACTGAGGCATGGACTCTACAAGACCTCTGAAGGTGCCCTGTGGTATCTGGCATCAAGACGTTAGCAGCAGGTCCTTTAAGTTCTGTAAGTTGTGAGATGGCAGAGATTGGACTAGACCAGCACCTCCTACAGATGCTCAGTTGGACTGAGATCTGGGGAATTTTTAGGCCAGAGCAACACTTTCTTCCTCAAAGTATTCCCAAACAATGTGTGCAGTGTGGCAGGGGGCATCATCGTACTGAAAGAAGCCACTGCCATAGGGGCATACCATTGCCATGAAGGGGTGCGTCTGGTCCACAACAATGTTCACGTAGATGGCATGTATCAAACTGATGTCCACATGAGTGCCCGGACTCAGCAGAACATTGTCCAGAGCATCACACTCCCTCCACTGACTCGACTTCTTCCCACAGTACATCCTCGTGCCATCACATTTCCCCAGTAAATGCCGCACATGTACCTGGCCGTCCACATGATGTAAAAGAAAATAGGACTCTTTGGAAAAGGCTACCTTCTCCCATTGCTCCAAGGTCCAGTTTCAATGCTTGTGTGTCCACTGTAGGTGCTTTTGATGGTGGACAGAAGTTAGCATGGGCACACCAACCAGTGTGCTGCGACAAAAACCCATACGCAGCAGGGTGTGATGCACTGTGTGTTGTGACACATTCCGCCTGTAACCATCATCAACAATTTCTGTCACTTGTGCCACAGTAGCCCTTTGCTGTTTCAAACTAGATGGGACAGCCTTCGTTGCCCTCATACACTGATGAGCCTCGGGCGCCCGACACCTTGTCACTGTTTCATGGTTTGGCCTTTGGCCCTCCTCAGAACACTGCCATTAGGTACTCAGCACTGCTGACTGGGAGCACCTCACAAGTCTTGCCTTTTAAGAGTTGGTCCGACCCAGTCACCCGGCCATAACGATTTGGCTCTTGTCAAAGTCACTCAGGTCTTTACATTGCCTATTCTTCCATATCCAACATGCCGACTACAAGGACAAACTGTTCACTCATGGTCTAGTATATCCCAGACCTTGACATGCGCTGTTATTACGAGTAATTAGTGTTATTCTCTTCATCTGTGAGTAGTCATAAGATTTTGGCTCGTTGGTGTATAGTTTGATTAAAGGTTGTTAATTTCATCTTAATATCATCAAATGGCCCAGAGCTTAGAATTAAGATCAGTCTGTTACAAAGTAAATTAAATATAAACGCTGATAGAGTACAGTACTGCAGTCTAGCTGCGTTATTTAGCATGGTATTTTGGATGTGTGTAGTGTATAATATGAATTATAAAACGGATAGTTCTGGTCCTAAAATCTGATTGGCTGAGCTGCGTTCGAAGCCGTTGTAAAATCCGTGATATACCACGGCTATGACCGCTTCACAACAACTGAACTCTGTATCACTGCGCCACAGCACAAAAAACCCTTCTGCTGTTAATGGATTAATCTTTGACTGTAGCGCTGAGCGTACGGAGCACCGAGCACTGAGGCTGAATCCCAAACGGCTCCGTACTCCCTAAATAGTGCCCTGTGCAATATTAAGTTTAGACATTCTGGCTTCTACTGTCAAATAGTGCACTTATTGTTGAGTATGAATGTGGATGAATCCCATTTTTTTAATTCCTACTTAATGCACTAACTATATGGAGGGAGCAGGGAGCCGTTTGAGATTCAGCCCCAGCATGAGACAAGTGGCGTCGTCAGACTGGCAGAAGATTCTCAGTGGTAATTTGGTGACCAAAATTACTTATAAACTGAACGTTTTTGCATTAAACAGTGCTATGTTACGTACGCTCACTGTTATACGATAAAAAGTTTTAACAAATCATAAAATGTCTTCAGTTTGCAGTGATTGGCGACCGAACGTTCTTCTCTTCATTCAGTAGTCAATGGTTGCTTAGCAACAATTCCATACTCTAAAGGAACTACATTTCTTGCCGGAATACTTTTTATAAAAGCAATAAGCCACTCAAGGCAGTGTGTTACTGCAATCGCAGTAACCCACAGCGTCTTGTGGCTTATTGCTTTAATAATATTTGTTTGTGGCAACCAACCCCAAAATGAATTGCCAACCAACCGCAGCAACATCGGGATACAATTCTATATTTACTTCATGTTATCTAACAAGTATTACTTATGCCTTCAAACTGTATCTCCAATCATACCTAACTGTCATTTCTAGTAACTAAAATTAATATTTAGAAAAAAACTGTATTCCTTTAAAGCATATTTTCTTAAATAACACATTTTAAAAACGTGAAGGTTTTGACGTTAAATGAATAACAAGTTATTCAGAATTCAGTTCAAACACTTACAGGAAATGTCATGTTTTGTTCATTATTTCTGCAAGCATGATCTTTTCTAAAAATCTATTTTTACACCGGAGGCTAGACTAACAGATGGTCGTTACTCACATACATCTTTTTTTTTTTAGGTTCCCCAAAATGGATCTGAAGTGTTTGTCCTCCTCTGGTCCCCACAGACCTCTCTCACTCTCTATTTACCTTGTTTATTTAACTTCTCTCTCTCTCTCTCTCTCTTTCACCTTACTCACCCTCTCGTACTCCCTCTCTTTCTCTCACTCTCTCTGCTGTGTAGTATTGTACAGCTATGTAGCATCTCTGTAAGGTACAGAGAGAACAGAAGCCTGAGACGGTGCCAGAAAACAGAGAAAAATAAACTATTACTATTAATAAAATAGATCTCTGCCAGAAAATACATAGAGAATAAACTGAGGGAGTAAACAGTTGTTTTTAAAAACATAAATAAACATACACCAATAGCAAATGAAAGAAAATCTCTTTATTGAAGAATATTTCAAACATATATAATTAAGACTTTCTCCTTCGTGATGAAATATAACCTTTAATTATTCCATGGCAACCTTGTCTCCTTTAAGGCAATTAAAAAGTGATAGTTCACAGAAAATAAATATTTACAGATATCTGCATATCAGCAAACTCAAACAATGTTGTCGCTGCAAAGCTAAAATGTTCTGAGCCACATAAAAATGTTTTTTGCATTTGTGAAGCTTAGCAAAACATGGGGGAAAAAGAATTATACAAAAGATCAGCCTTGGCAAGGAAGCTCTAATAACATCCCCGGTGTTTATTTAGACATGCAAAAAGTCCTTTAAAAACACACCGAAAATGCATAAGTGCAAGTTGACCTTATAAAGTGTGCATATACTGAACAGAAAGCACAAAAATAATGATATTCGATTTTAAAAAGAATACAGTTGTGTGGTTTGAGACGGGGCACCTGCCATGGTTCACCATTAACATTAAACTATGAATCATCAGTGGGCAGATGAAGAACTGGGAGTTAAATGGTATAAAGTAACTGCATCCGTTGAACGTTGGTTAATGAACTGTTTTTATCAGAATTTTTGATCATTCTAAATGGTACATTAGTTAAAACTTGATAGAAGTATCTATATTTAAATAATGGCCAAATCCACAATTAAAGTCCCAGAGAACATAAAGTGTAAAATATTATCAATATCAAACCTTTAAAGTTTGAAGTACACTCTTAGAAATAAAGGTACTGTGCAGGTATGTTTTAGCTCTTCAAGGTACCAACAAGGTAAATGTACCCTCAAAGGTACAACAATGGTTTTAAGGTCCAACTGTGTGCAAAGGTATGCATTTGTACCTTTTCAGAACCTGATGTTTTAAAACAGAACAATAAAAAAAGCCTGGAGATGAGACGGGATGTGTGGAGTCAATAGAACTTAGCAAATATAATTGCAATGGATTTAGGTACAGTTATGTTCCCTAACTAAAGGTACTGAAGACCCACCCCGGTGACAAGAAGGGTACCACTCCACTGACAGTTTTGTATCTTTTTTTTTTTGGAGAGTATTGGCTTGTGCCGGTACAGAATCCACTTATTTGGATGAACCATGTGGATAATAACTATCTATTCACACCCAACTGATTTTCACAGGACAGAAAAAATGCACATCAAGTTTTGAAAACGGACACAGGCTGACCAGTCAGAGCTCTGTTGTCATGGTTGCAGCCCAAAGAAATGTGCATTAAGAACATCTCAACCTCTTAACCAGAGGTTAAAGATCATATATGGCGGACCAGAAGTGAAAGGCTAGTAACGACAGTGAATATGTTACTATGATTATATAGAGCCATTTTTTAGTTTATAGGTGCATCCTACTCTGTTCACGCCCATGACGAACCGCTAACTATTAGCTTCCCTCACTAATGAACGCTTGTGAACGCTTCTGATAAATAAAACACATTTATCAGACAGAGAACAGAAATGAAGGAAAACAAAGGGCAGGGAGCAGAGAGAGAAAAAGAAAGACAACTTTTTTTTTGTTGTTATTTAATGTGTCCACGTTTTTTCAGCGAAATCTGTGGGGATATTTCTCACAACTCCACAGTTCAGTCTTAGAAAAATGGTTGCATTTTCTGCTTCCCACAATCTAAGTAAAGTGAATTATAAATTAAGATTACAGTCCATAATCTCAGAGTCCAGTTTCAGTGCTCTACTTCAAATTTTTATCTTTATTGTCTGTTTTTTTTTTCATTTAGTGTCTCTATGAAGGGGAACATAATGTCAGTGATATTTTTGGGAACAGGTTTTGTTGGGAGGACACAGCTGTAATTGGTTGGTTTTAAGAGTGGACAAAAGTGAACAAATTAAATACTGATAGACCTGACATTATACTTAGTATTGGAGTTTTTTTTTGTAATTTTCTGTTAAACATATGTTTCCTTCTTTTTACTGACACTGATAAATGAATAACTTGTACTCAATGCCTGTTTCAACTGTAAATTAAATTAAATAAAGGTGGTGTCTGACTTTTGCACATTTACTGTATTTTGTGTGTGCAGAAGATTAACTTAACTAGATAGTAATCATGGATTTAGGTTCCTTGGGACTTTACATAATTGTGGTCTCTCCACTTATAATATATACCTTATTCCAAATATGACAGCAAAGAAAATAAAACAGTCGTACAGCTGGTCATCTAAAACACAACAAAATGTATTTTGCATATTTTAAAATGCACAGTTTTTGAGTTTGGCCCCCAGTCCCCATGTGTGTAGGGTGAATCTCAGTCTTTGACTTCATATACTTGGTCTTATTGCTGTGGTTCAGATGTGTTCAAATATCTTCTTGAGTTTAACCAGCACATGTTTAGAAATCGCCAAAGCTAAAGTAGAAGAAAAAGAAAAAAGCAGAGCATAGGAAGGAAGAGAGTGGGAGACAGAGAAAGAAAGGTTTATTATTTGAAGGTGAATTTTGGTTTGTGTATGTGTGAATTCTAGGAAAAAGCTTACAGTGGCAGCAGTATTTCTAACCATAACTGTCGAAAAGCATAAAAGAGAGAAAAGAGAGGAATATGACTCACTCGTCCTTCGCTACGGGGGTGTTGTAGCTCTGAAACAGCGGCTGAACAAAGAGGCCGAGAGTTCCGATCACACATACCAGGATAAAAACCCACAGGAACAAGCGGTCAATCACCATTGCTACATACTTCCAGTCCTCGATGATCTACAAATACAAAAATCATACACTTTTTTTACATGTAGTAGTCATTGTCATTTCCAAACCTCACAACTACATTTTCTTATTATTTTACACCATTTACATTTACATCCTTTACATTATGTGAACATTTATAATGACTGAACTAATATAAATGGTTCAAAATTACTTGGAATAAAACCTCATGACATTAAAGTGAAGAGGTATTTTCTTCCTGTGAAGGTACCATTTCAGACATTCAATGTTTTGTGAAAAAGTACCGTGCAAAAGTCAGAGACCACCCTTTCATTTATTTAATTTCCAAAATGACAATTAAGCCCAAGTTATTAATTTTTTATCATCAGGAAAAAAGCAGAGAAACATATTTAATAGACAATGACACAGATGCCTCAACAACTAAAAATAATATCTTTTTGTTTCAGTATTTAATATGTCCACACTTTTCCACAGGGCCAAAGTTCAGTCATAGAAGTTGGCTGCATTTTCTGCTTAGTAATCCTAAACACATTAAGTGATGTTGAGGTCTGGACTCTGGGGTGTTCAGTTCAATGTTTTGGGAACAAAACCTTCTCTCTCCATTTTTGTTGTTTATCATTTTATGACATAATGTAAAAACACTTTAAATTTTGTGAACATTTCATGATGAATAGTCCAACAGAAATGACCCACAATTACTTAAAAAAAGCATCCAGTTCCATTGATTTTCATTTAAAGATAGTTTTTTCCTTCTACTGAAAAGTTACCATTTCAAAAATAGGAGCTTTTGTTCAACCAGTGACATTTGCAAATTGCAGCAGCACATTCTTTCAGACCCATAGCCATGACCATGTGATTTGTCTTCTCACAGTGGAAGGATGGAAACCTGTTAACTTTTTCGGATGTAAAAGAAGTAAGAATGAAGCTTCACTTTCTCCTCTCTCTCAAAGATGAAAGATTTAAGTGCTGTTTATCTGATGAGGACATCATTTGGTGGTCTACCAGGTCTTGCACGGTTTTTAGGTGTTCCATTTTCTTTGCATCTTTTACTCAATACTTTGTATCTTGAACTCCGGTTTTAGAAACTCCTGTTTTCTACTTATTTTCCTTTAACTTTCTCCCTCACTATGCAAGTGGATTATCTTACATTTAATCTCCTCAGAAATATCTTCAGAAATTATGGTTGTTAAAGTCATTTTGATCAGAAAAGCAAATAAATAAAGGGCAGTCTCTGAATTTTACACCGTACTCTGTATTGTGGTTTGTCCCCATAAAAAGAGCAAAATAAAGACCACTCACTGACTCGTACAAATATCCATAAATAAAATACTAAAGAATTAACACACCAAAAAACAACAAAAAATATCTCTGCATTGTTAATGTGGCCATCACGAACCATTTCAAGCTTCAAACAAACAACTTCCAAAGCGGCAACATAGCTGCCCCAGGCTTAGATGACAGTTTACAAACACAGAACCTGGCAAGTAAGCCCAGATTTTGCTGTGCTATTGGTGTGTGCTGTCTTGAGGCATTACTGGTGTTTGGAAGCCTCTGTGCTTACATTACCAAACACTGGCCAGCTAGTTTTAGTGACAGTATATTAGAACGTTTCCATAGCAAGGATGGGTGTACATAAATACCTGTATACAAATCTTCAAAATGAAGATTATTCTGACTCATTTCAGTGCCTTTTCATTACTGAATACTTGATGACATTTTCTATACTATAAAAAATAAATAAACTGTGCATCTATTGGCAGTAAATCTGATGTTTTATGCCACATGGTGTGGCCAAGAACCACCTACTTTGGCAAACTATCAAACACAACCTGCTTTTGAAGTAGCAGGCCACAAAATTTGTTCTCACACTGGTGATCCTAAATCAAAATTCTGCTTAATTTTTTTAACAAATGTGGAGGAAAAGCAAGCATTTTGCTTGCACTGTTGAATGCTGGAATATCTGAACAGTAAATATGTGAAAAATGCCCATCCCTAGTCTAGTGGTGTTTTGAAGCCTCTGTAGTTACATTACCAAAAACTGTCCTGCTACTTTTCTAGACTGTGCAATAGAAATGTAATTTCCATAGTGATCCTCCTCACCCCTTCATCGTCGTCCTCGATCTTCATGTGTTCAGCAATGAACCGCACGCCCTCTATGGCCTCGTCTACTTCCGGGTCTCGTCTGAGCCTGACCCTCTGTCTGAACTCTGACCCTTCTGGCAGCTCACCCAGCCTCCAGGCCCTGCCGGGGTCATTGCCAAGGACGAAAGAGTCATCGGGCGGGCCACTGGAGAAAGACATGCGCTGGTGCTTCCGCCTGAACCTTTCCCGCACGTTGGAGCTGCCAGGCCGCCGCATAAGCAGAAAGATGGGTAGGCGACACAGGAAAACACGCTTGACCCACTCGGGCATGCGATGAGTGGATGGAGAACGGTGGTGTACATTAAGAACACAGACACTTGTGACGATGGAGAAGGTGACCAGTACCATTGTGAACATCAGATACTTCCCAATTAGTGGGACAGCTAGCGAAGTGGGAGGTACGATCTTGGAAATTAGCAAAAGGAACACAGTGAGCGCCAGGAGAACGGAAATGCAAAGAGTCATCTTCTCGCCGCAGTCCGACGGCAGGTAGAAGACCAGAATGGCCAGCGAGGTGATAAGTACGCAGGGGATGATGAGGTTGATGGTGTAGAAGAGAGGTTTGCGCTTGATGACGAAGTCATATGTCACATCCATGTATGTGTGGTCATTGGGGTCTTCGTTCTTGCGGCCTGGCAGTGAGACAATGTCCCATTCTCCGCTAGGTGTGTAGTCGTCACGGCTGGCGAAGTCTGAGGTCAGAACTAGGTCCAGTTCAGTGCGGTCATACGTCCACGAGCGGAATTTGAGCGTGCAGTTCTGCTGGTCGAAGGGGAAGTTTCGCACCTCGATGGCACAAGCGCTCCTGTAGATGGCCGGAGGTAGCCAGAAGATGTCGCCTGAGTTGGACACAATGGCATTGCTGTAGAAGGACACCTCGTACACACCATCCGCACTGAGAGACAGAGAGCAGAGAAATATTTAACTGTGCTGTAGAGACGTTCCAATCAATTTTTTTTTGCCCTCAGTCCCAATTTAAGTTCTCTGATTCTGAATATCTGGCAATACTGAATCCTTATACAATACTTTTCGTAGACAATACATCCACACAGTGCACACTGCAAGTACATTAATGTTAATGAAATCAGGCCTATTTATGTAATACAGAGAATTTCCAGTCAAAATGCCTTCATAACAGCTTCAATTTCAGTGGCTTGCTTTCAGTTTTTCACAAGAATCTACATCACTATTTTTACTCGCAAAGTTCAGTCTTAGAAGTTGGCTGTATTTTCTGCTCGTCACAATCCAAATAATCCCAAACATTCAGTGAGGTCTGGGCTCTCTCTAGTTTTAGTGCGCAAATTGTTTTTTCAAAGTGGAAGAAAGAACGGAAACACCTGAGGATTTTTTCAGATTTGAAGCTTAATTTTCTCCTCTCTCTCAAAGTTGAAAGCTTTAAGTGCTGGTGATAGGGATGGTTTTGGTGGTCTACCTGGATTTTCAGGTGGTTGTTCCCAACTTGCAGGTGGAGTCCCAATTTCTCTGTAACTCTTAATAATTTTTTGAACTCCAGTTTTGGATACTCGTGTTTTTTACAGTTATTTTTCTTCTTTATGCAGGTGGATTGTCTTACATCTAATCTCCTCAGAAATATCTCTTGAAAAATGAATAATTTGTGCTTAAAGGCCGTTTTGACTGGAAATTAAACAAATGAAAGGCTCAGACTTTTGTACAGTACTGTATGTGCTAGGCTGCCCATTACTTTAAAACGCTACAGTTAAATCACATAATTTTTAGTGTATGTATACTGTAACACTTTGAATTGATCTGTTTTTTTGAACTGCTTTTCTAATATGACCAATTTATATTGTATTGAATATGCTACTTTCGTATTCCAGGGTGCTCTAATAGACATAATAGCCTCCTTTCCTCTGTGTTAGAGGCATTGTTACTCTTACCACTAAGCGTGTAATAGCTGTGCACTCACATTTTATGTGCAACTAGTTTAACTGTGTTTTGACAAATGACAGCCAGTGCAGCCACAGTTGAAACAATGATTGTTGAGTTATTTTCACTTTCCACTTTAAAACAGTCCCATAAAAGCGTATCTCACTTTTGCAGATGGTGTAATGTCTATATTACGTTTACGGCAGTGGCATAAATAGAGTGCAATGGGGAAAGGATTGGGCTTAATATATTCTATATCAGTCTTTCGGATCAAATCGTGACAATCCCTGCTGTGCAGCTATTCATATCAAGGAATGCTCATCTCTACCTCTGACCTGTGTGTGTGGTAAAACCACTATCTCACACTGTGTCTGATTAATATGCATTAATTAACCAATTGCTAATCCACCCTCAATTTCCTTCCCTCAGTAGACTATCATATACAGTGTTTCAATTAAAATTAGCATAGAAACAGAACGTTTATTTTAGCCAGGGATTACCCAGCCCATGAAAGCATAGCAAAACACATCTTAAGCTAATTAAAACATCATCACATGATATAATCACTTGTTACCAGATCCATTTGCGTATCATATATTGCGTGTCATTCCACTCCCCTTGTTTTTTGGATTCTTGTTTCATGAACTAAGTGAACAGCTGACTCACAACATCATCCTCTCCAAATGCTTGTAGCATAAAATCTACCTTCTTTCAAACAAAAGCCCAGCCACACTCTACAAGGCGCCGGTGACCTAGATCGTACAGCGTGAAACACATGAGTGATATCGTTTGTCATAGGGTTTTGCGTTTGGGATTGTTCTAAAAATGCCCAAACGACCTGACAGAACAGCAACATGGTGAGGCGGCTGCTCTCTCGCTTTTGGCAACTCCATGGCATAATTAGTCAGTCTTTTGGAACACTGACAGCCTGCTTGGAGTATTGTGTTTCCTGCACAAAAAAAAGAAAAAATCCACTGCGTGTCAAGCCTCAAATCCCCCAAAGATTAGGAGGCTTAAGGCGTTAATAAACAGCAAATAACAGACTGATATACAATGTTCTACTTGGGGCATTTTTTACTCAGAGGGATTTTTTGGACAGACTTCTGATATAGGTCCTTTACAAAAATACAGTCTTCTCTGATAAGACATCACTTTGTAAATCAGTGAGTCAACCAACTAACCAGTAAACCTATCAAATGTCTAACATATTGTAGACTACAAATATTCATCTGGCCTAGCAAGTTACAGTCACTGCATTGTGATTAACAGTAAGCGAAGTGTATATGAAATGGACAGCGACTGGCTAATGCAGAGTGTGGAGGAGGACTTTTGTAACAGCAGCTGTGGCGTACTTGTTGTAGAGGACTATATCAGGTAGCCAGATGTGGTGGGAGGGGATTCGGATTTTTTTGATGCCATCATATTCATCTGGGTCCCACACTAGTCTGTAATCGTTCCATTCCTGCGCGGGACAGAAGAAGAACACACTAGATGAGGGACATGAACACACAAAATGATCAAACAAGCATAGCTGCTCAGAGAAAACCTAGCCTGGCTTTACACTGTGAAACTTTCATGCAACTTTAGTTGCTTAAAACCTACATGAAACTAAATTGCACTTGAGTTGCATAATGTAAAGCGTCCCACTACTCATTTGAAACTCAGCTGCAGGAGCTGCAAGCATGGCAACTTCAAACAAGTTTCATATAACAGCCAACCAAAATGCAGATAATGCATCACATGACAACATCAAATGACATCAAATGATTTATTTCACCGGATCAACTGACAAGAAAATAAATCAGAAGATGCTTTATTGGACAGTTGGAAAGGAGACCCATCACCCAACTGATTTAAGGTTGTAGTTTTATTTATTTTGTTAGTTTCCTGAGCCATGACACAAACTTAAGTTTCTATATGCTAACGTTTCTGTAAGCAGCTGCATTAACTGGCCTGTTAACTCTAACAGCTGTTTAAGTGGCTGCTTTTACCACCGTTTCTTCTTGTTTAGCCTGATTGTAATGTTATTTATGTAGCTAGATTCATTTTCTCCTCCACTGATGTCCCCTAATTTTATACATTTTTTAATTTTCTAATTTTATACAGAGCTCAGATTCATTTGGAATCCCAAGGATAAAATTTCTTATAGAAGGGAGACTGAGATGTGCTTCTAGATGAAATGCTTCCAGGACAGAATGATCAAGACATCAAGTAGGCTATAATTGTAATGACTACCTAATTTTAATGTTTTATTGACTCAACAAACAACACATACACACAACAGATAAAAAAGATACAAATATATAGTGAAGAACCCTAGAAAGGCAGATAGAAAAATGACCTATATATAGATATAGAGATATAGAACGGTAATGACAGTTGGAAAAATATACAAAGATGATAAAAATGCAGCAAATATCTAAATTTCGTTGTGTGTAGTTCTGCTTTAGTGATGTAGCAGGCTGCGAGTGTTGGACGAAGGGATGTCAATCGCACACTAATCAGAATATGAGGCCACATTCACACAGTCCTCAGGCAGGTCTGATCAGCCATGTTTATTATATTTCTGTCTCCTTTTTAATTTGAACTTTACTGAATGTTCAATGTAACATATGCACATTTACGAAAGTGCTAGGGCTCATAAAAGTGGTAAATCGGTCACATATTCAAATTACATTTCTATTTATGGATATTTAAATGATCAAATTTATTGAAAATGATCAGATGTTTGTTGCAGCCCTAAACGTGACTATTATTAATAATCAACTCTGCAATAAACTATGTTTTTGTGTATTCCATCACACTGTGGTCTTTGCGGTTCATGTGGTCCTCGAAGCTGTATTGCTTTATTTTTTTCACTGGATATGTGTATTAAAATGCATGTCTATTGCTAATAGGCTTATTTTCATTTGTGTACATATCTGAGATGGGGATTCGAGTCAGCAACACAAGTTGACTGACTCTTGACTTACTCAGATTCAAGACTTAAGACTTAAATTAAACAAGTAAAATTTAAAATTTCAGCCTGACAAAACATGAGCAAAACTGATTAAATTAGGACCACCAACCATAATGCAGTTAATGAATGAAACCTCTCCTTTCCAGCTTTTTGTGTGGTGAAATAACACCTTTCATTACAGAAAAACCTTCAGTCTGATGGACAAAACAAGCACTATATGAAGTAAATAGTGTTAAAAGGAAAGAGGCAAAACAACTTGAACAGTTGGCCAGCATACAGTCATGCAGCAAGTATGCAAGCAAGTGCGCTAGCTTTTATAGCTTAAATTGCCAGTGTATCTAGCTGAAGTTTTAGCTATTGTGTTACAAACGACAGACTAACTAACCGTTTCTAACTGTTTTGCCTCTTCCTGTAAGGCCCGGGACACACCAAGCTGACGTTTAAGAACTAGCGCCAACTATCATCTTCCGTCAGATCACTGTTGCCTCTCGTCTCGTTTTGTCTTAGTGAAAATTTGCACTCGAACATGCATGAAGACTACAGCTGTAACGCGCCTGTGCAAAAGGGAGCAACTCTCTATAGCAGAGGAAAACTGTAGCGTAAAGGTAGTATCTGTAGTACAAAGTAAAGAATGTATCTGCATACAAAGTAAAGAATGTATTGTTTGAACACATCATAGGCTACAAATGTGTTTAAGCTAAACCTAGTTGTGTTAAAGTGAATGTAAATCACTTTTTGCAGTGCTAAGTGGGTAAAAAGACTACTTAACAGTGAATGTTTGAACATTTAACAGTGAATGACTGCATGTTCTTAATTAAACGAGAAGAAGTAAAAAAGTCTGAGCTTTTGTGCGTCTGTGTTTTTTCTTGTTGGGAATATGACAATCACATTATTTTTAAATATTTGGACATTCGGATATCAAAAATAGTTAAAATGCCCATTCCTAGTGCTAAAACTTTGCTACTTTCACTGGCATTGAAAAATGTGGCTATTCTGTGTGTGTGTCTGTTTGAGAGTGCTGTTTTCTTGCGTTGCTCTCTTTCTTGCATTCATTTCTTTCCTCATTTACCCTGTTTCACAGCCAACCCCTGCTGAATCCAACATGCTCAGTCTGCAAAAAAAGTGCTGAGGAGTACTGTCTAAAGCCCACGGTGCCATACACACTGACTACGGGCGATGGTCTGCCACCAATGCTCACCAACGACCTGGTGGTGTCTGATGGTAGACAGTCAGCCTGGTGTGTCTCAGGCCTTAAACACCTCATGAACTGCAGGTAATGCTTCAGTTCTGTTCTTCTGAACTGAAACTGAAGGTTTTTCTGTAATGAAAGGCTAATTATTGGATGCCGTGTTGAGTGTGACGGGTTTTTGACAGGGTTTATTTGTACAATACTGCAGCTAATTATGAGACTAAACTAAAAGTCACTAAATACTCAAGACTAGATTGAGACTCAGCTAAGCTACAAAACAGTGTATGGCAATGAGCAAAGTGCATGGTCCTAAGCCTACACAGAGCTAGCATAACATTTTGCAGGGCTTTGCTAATAACAGTAGATATTAAAATAAAAATAGCAGCATGAAATCTTCAGTATGAGAACCCCTGGGGTTGACCATATACTGTCCTAATTTCAGAAACTCAATTGCTGCAGTGTGTGTAATAGGATTTTTTCATGAAACTGAACTAAACTTGAATTTACACTCAGCATGGTGTTAGTGTGTGTGTGTGTGCAGTAACGTGCTGAGGTGCTGAGTTAGTGAGCTGCAGGTGAATATCCCACCTGAGTGAGCCACACGTTAGTTGTCATGATTTGCTCCCTTTCATTCTGCAAGAGGGTGACAATAGCAAAACAGGATTAGGAGAGCAAATGAAGCACTCCACTGTAGTTTAAAATCTGTTTAAGTGCAGTGTTTGTGTGTGTGTGTGTGTACAGCACTCACCACACTGATAAGCTGAGCGAGAGACACTTTGATGCCGATGGTGACCTGCTGGCTCTTGTTGACCGCCGGTCTAATCAGTTTATTATAGCGCTCTGGACCCAAAAGAAACTCCACCAACCTCTCCTCAGCATCAGCTTCTAGAGAACCTGACAGACCAACATACAATCATACTCAGATCTCAAGCAGGGACATCCAGTCAGAACTGTAGATTTCAAACTTCCAATCGAAAGCACACATCGCTGTTATCAGAAAAAACCTTGTATCTCTAAAATGATAACTTTACCGAAGAAGGGAAAAACAATGGAACCAGACTTTTTTCCAAGTAATTTTGGGCTGTTTCTTTTGGTCTATTCATCATGAAACTTACACACAACGTAAAGGGCAGGGAGTCCTTTCAAATTATGTAAAAAACTGGAAAACAAAAATAGAGACACAAGGTTTTGTTCCCACAGCAACGACATGTGTCTGTATGTAGAAGGAGAGATTTTTTATAATGATTTGAATTTGAGGAAAAGTTATCATTATGTATACAGTCTAACATTTAACATGACACTCTGAGGCTAAAATACAGGAGTAGTTACTGGGAATTATTCAGTTAAACTGTGCAAGTGATATCAAAATACTGAACAGTGTTCCAGATATTTTTACTTATTTTTTTTTTTAATCTGTTACTCACCACACGAAAGTCAAAAGGTAAATGTGTACAAAATTTGGCAGACTCGTTTGAAACTTCACATTATAAATTATAAATCATTTTAAGAACTTTCCTCATTGTGTGTGGTCTACTGGATGCATAATGTGCGTGGTTCACAGAAAACAACATATTCTACGTCAGTCTCAATCAGTTGGTAGCTGATTACCTTAGTTGCAAACAAAGATCATTTACACATCTTAACCTTTTTCGGCCACATTTTGAAAACTACTGAAGAAAGAAATACAAATGAATAAAACCAACTGCACCACTCACAAATCTTAGCTCCCTTTTCACTTTCCAGTAACGTTATCTCCATCTCACTGGCCAATTAAGGTTTAATACTGTATCTGTGGGTCTGCTGAATGATGACTGTGAACTGCTGCTGGACTGTGTTGGGGGGAATCTCTCTCAGAATTCTCTGCTGGCAGTAGACCTCCACCCTCCCCACTTCTCAAAACTAAAACTCATCAAATCTACATGATTTAGGTGAAACGGCACACCCATCATTCAAAACAGCAGATTCAGAAAAAAGGCGATGAGTTTGCATGAATGAACCATGTAATTACATACATATACACAGTACATCAAAACAACATCACTAACACTATACCCTTAAGGCTGGCTTTACATGGTGAGAGTTTCATGCAACTAGTAGCAACTAGCATGTCATATGTTGCATGCAACATAATTTACATGCAACTTTAAGTTTGGTTTATTCTGATTCTGAAAAAAAAGACTTTGTTTTTCTGCTTTTCTACTCCACATCCCTATTTCATTCCAGTTAGACATAGAACAGATGCAATAGGATCTAATTTGGTGTTCTTGTTAATTTATTAGGCCTAATATACGCACAGGTCAGATGAACACTGGTAATCATTCTTTTATTTCAGTCTGGTCATTAACTATGAGAGGATGTGGGCGAATACTTGAGAACTTGATTAATCGTTCGAGGTTCTAGCATTCGAATACTGAAAACACTATTCGGGCACTCATTCCGTTTCAGCACATGCAGTATACAGCCTAACAATTGTATGTTTTAACAGGACTGTAAGATGTTATGGTTTTTCTAGAATTTGTAAGAACATATATTACATTATATGCCATGACGAAACACGGGTGCCTGAACATGAAAGTGTTGCTAAGGACGTGTTGTTAGGGATGTGACTGAGAAGGCAGATGTAGCGCGGCTTATTGCTAACTATGCTAACTTCTCTAGTTAGATTTAGAAAAGCGAAGAGCTATTTCTCTGACTAACACGTTCGCTTATCGTCCCTGAGAAGATACCTCATCAGCATTCAATGTTGTACCAGCTAGCTGTAGTTTTAGTCTCCGTTCTTCTTCTAACACGAACACTATGATTTCTCTTGGCTTTTTTGAATAATAAAATATTTTTTCGAGTGTATTCCTCTGCTTGCTGCAATTTTTTTGCCTCTTAACAGCAGTGCTTTCACCTAAAAGAGTAAGTCTCCAGCCCTATATTCATTTAGGCCAAAGTACTTTTTTTTTCTTCTTTCCAGCAACTAATCAGATATCAGTTCATTACCTCTTGAAATTCAGCCTAGTTGTAACGCACATCCCTAAAATGAGATATCAACCCTGATAAACCAGTACAAAAAGTTTTTACTCTGTAAGTTAATTCTGTTCTTTTTGATTTTTAATTTTGTTCTCTAAAAATAATCTAGTATTTTTTGTAGCATGTGAAAGACTTTTTAAACTGCTTCAAAAGAACTCTCATTTTTCTTCATATTTGTCAAGGTGAAAGGTTTGAAAAGGCCAAAGTGTCACCCAACCTGCGTGTGGTCAGTTTCTGGAGAAAAGGTGAAAACACAAATATGTCAGAATGATTTCATAGCGCACCCCACGCCTTCACATCTCATCAGCTACAGCGAGGTGCACCAGAAAAACATCAACCACTCAACACACACACACACACACACTAGTCCACCCCCACTGAGTGTGTGTGACAAGATTGTGTGTATTTCTCTGTGAACATGAGGCTCTGACACACACCTTGTCTTTGTCATGGATCCAATATGATGTCACATGAGATTGTAATGATCTGTTACGCTGACACACACACACACACACACACACACACACACACACACACACACAGATGAGCCACCATAACTCTATTAAACATTAGTCATTTCTGAATGCGCGTCCCCTGCAGTGTTTCAGAGCTCAGATCTGCTACGTATCATTGTGTGTGTGGGTATGTGTGTGTGTGTGCCTTCTGACCTTGGTCTAGTGCCACTCAACAAAACACAAAGCACACATTACATTTTATGTAATAATGATAATGATATTTTTATACTGAGTAAGAAGAGAATAGCTCCCGGCCTGCATTCAGATGGTCGCAAGATATAGCCCCCATTAGCACACATGAGCAGGGAGAAGGGAAGCAGGGCTGCAGCACCCCCAGATTTCAGGGACTGGTTAAATGCAACCGACGTGACACAAGCAGTTCTTGCCTCACATCAACAATGTGACTGGTCAACACTCAGCTGGTCTGCATAAATTTTGTCCAGTAAGAGAGAGCAGACATCGCTCTCCAAATAATTAAAATGATAAAGAAAAAAGTTAGCATGACAACAGTCTACATCACGAATTTGCTGTTTAAAAAAACTTTTAGAAACTTACACATAGAACACGTATGAAAATCATTGTGATACTGTATAATCAGCTTCTGATAATAGGATAATTCATTAATGTTATTGTAAATTCATTTTATATCAGTATCATATACACTATATTACTCAGATTACCCTATATATTTACTAAGCATATGTATGTGTGTCTGCTAAAACAATAAAGACAGACACACACACACACACACACACACACACACAAACATACACACGCTGATTAATGCAGTGCTAAGAATGTAGTGCATTATGAATTGCTTTGTGGCAACAAGCATATTAGGCAGATATGATAAGCCTGTAATTGTCATAAGGAACTTTGTTTTGAGTCAGGAAGAAAAGAAGAAAGGAGAAAAGAACGAATAAAGTTTTCATCCCCTTTATTCAGTGTGCAAGCTTGCTAATGTTATACATTAAGAAATAAAAGTAAGAAGAATGAACAGGGAGAATGTGTCTGCAGTGTTTTTTAACTGCAGAGTGTAAGGGCCCAGCGAGGCGCCACAAGTTCAGGGGACTCCAATTCCCAGATTTAGGATAAAAATTTGAACTTATGAATTGTTTTTCTGTACTAGTTACTGTGCTAAATTCTGTCCTACAGCGAAGGACTTTAACATAAATTACTGTACTCTAACTATATCAACAGTCCCTTGGTCATGTTCTTATTTGTTCTAGGGTGATAAATTACCTGCTATTATTAAATCGAGGGCGTGCACTTGTGACAACTTGCCCCATCAACAAAAAAGAACACACTTAACCATGTGCCCGTTTACACCTTGTATTAACATATGTTTTGTTTCTGGATAATCTTTGGCCTGATTTTACTTACACTTTTCTAAAAATGCATCCAGTTTGATCAGATGAGATCTGATTGTACCAACTGTACTTTTCCCATGTAAAAAAGGATGACAATACATATGCAATTATCGTTTTACTGTTGTTTACCTTTTCCATGTTACAATACCAGTCAACAATCATGGCTTGGACACTTTCACCAGCTCAAAGTGAGAGAAGGCTGTTGGTTTGGGGCTAATGTCAGCGTCACATGTACTCCATCTTCGATTTAGTTATTTATTCTCTCACCGTTTAGTCCACGTTCAGCAGGTGCAGTTCTGCTCATGTAATTTCATTCTGTTTAAATGCTGTCAAAATCCGTCTCTGAGCATCTCAGAACGCGGTTTGAATAATCCGATCATAATCTGTTCACAATGCATCCCGGGGGTGTTCACACCTGGCTTTTCATTGCTTAAAATGAAATTCGATTAAGATCCAATCACCAAAAATGCATGATAACGCAAGGTGTAAACAGGCGCAATTAGAACAACTGAACTATTTCACTATGACTCCATACTGAAATAAGACACAGATGAAAAGAATACAAAATATATGTCTGAGAATTTCTTCTTTCATTTGGTGTGGCATTGCTTCTCCATTGTTACATATCGCACCCAAGAAATGTATGGTAGATGCAGGTTGGAGCTACATTATGCAGGAAAGTATATCTGTAGGAGGAGGGTTGGTGACAACTGCCTTAGAGCAAACACACGTCTGCCTGTGACTAGTTTTGACATTAATCTGTAAGTGTGGTCTTCAATATAGTTTAATCAAAACCTTTTTTCAGCTTTGGGAATCATTTAAAACACCATCCAGATAAAGAGGACAGCATGTGTCTGAATTACCCTCCCCAGCAACACCTCCCACCATCTCTCAAGCACTATTCGGCTGGGATTAGTTTTACATGAGGAGGTGGGAGAGTGTAATTTATCGCTGTTTCTCAGTGATTTTAGTCCCATTCAAATGCGCCCTGTCAG